TTTGTAGAAACCTACAAATGTAGAGGACGACATTTGTAGGTTTCTACAAAAGGCAGTTGCTGTCCATTTGAAACTTAGATTCATTATAGACCAACATGTCATCGTGTATATAACGTACGTCTCAAGTGGTTCTTTTAAAAGGATTGATGAAGTGTTAATAGTACCATCAACAGCTGGTAGTTATTGAATACGTAAAACATGTACCATTTTCAGATTTAAACTAAACTTTAAAGCTTAAAGTGAAACCTATACGTATGCAGTTCTGCATTCTGAATGTTATATATTTAGTAGTTTTTCTCCCGTAGAAAAGTGTCTATATGAACCTTTTGGAACCGTTAGAGCTTATACCATCCATATAAAAACATCTCATTCATCTATGTTGAAGTAGGTAAAACAAAATGTTGCCTTACACGTATTACTGTTCTTTAGCCCTCGTTTAGGTGTCATGATGTGCACGAATATGTTGTGTCAAAAGGCTTTAACTACAAGACAGAAAATAATTACACACGTAAAAAGAAGTGCAAACTTTTCTATAATCAAGTTATTACCAAGGTCAGCACTTCTACATATTCTTTCAACTACACCGTGTTATAATCACACTTTAATTATTACAGCAAACTCCATCAAGGGAGAAACCGTCAACATTACCAAGGTCAGCAGATTACATATGGGTGCGTATCTGTGCATCGCATCTAACGGCGTTCCTCCATCTGTAAGCCGAAGAATATTACTACAAGTTAACTGTAAGTAAACTGAAAAATAGTAAGTATGGAATATATAAAAATACACAAATCATAACAGAATAATTGGGGCTCACCTCTTAGAGAAATGTTAGTTGAAAGTTAAAGATCCATTTCCATGTGAACGGTAAGCTATACGATCTGTTTACAGACAAACAATAGTTAAAGATCCATGTACAGTCTCATAGTAGGCTATGAGTTCTGTTTACAGACAAACAATAGTTAAAGATTCATGTACAGTCTCATAGTAGGCTATACGTTCTGTTTGCAGACAAAAAATAGTTAAAGTTCCATGTACAGTCGAATAATAGGCTATAAGCTTTGTTTACACACAAACAGTAGTTAAGGATCTATGTACAGTCGAATAGTAGGTTATAAGTTCTGTTTACACACAAACAGTAGTTAAGGATCCATGTACAGTCGAATAGTAGGTTATAAGTTCTGCTTACACACAAACAGTAGTTAAAGATCCATGTACAGTCGAATAGTAGGTTATAAGTTCTGTTTACACACAAACAGTAGTTAAGGATCCATGTACAGTCGAATAGTAGACTATATGTTCTGCTTACAGACAAACAGTAGTTAAGGATCCATGTACAGTCGAATAGTAGACTATAAGTTCTGTTTACACACAAACAGTAGTTAGGGATCCATGTACAGTCGAATAGTAGATTATAAACTCTGTTTACGCAAAAACAGTAGTTAAAGATCCATGTATAGTCGAATAGTAGACTATAAGTTCTGCTTACACACAAACATCAGTTAAAGATCCATGTACAGTCGAATAGTAGGTTATAAGTTCTGTTTACACACAAACATCAGTTAAAGATCCATGTACAATCGAATAGTAGACTATAAGTTCTGTTTAAACACAAACAATAGTTAAGGATCCATGTACAGTCTAATAGTAAACTATAAGTTCTGTTTACAGACAAACAGTAGTTAAAGATCCGTGTATAGTCGAATAGTAGGCTATAAGTTCTGTTTATAGACAAATAGTAGTTAAAGATCCGTGTACAATCGAATAGTAGGTATAAGTTCTGTTTACACACAAACAGCAGTTAAAGATCCATGTACAGTCGAATATTAGACTATAAGCTCTGTTTACAGACAAACAGTAGTTAAAGATCTATGTACAGTCGACTATTAGGCTATAAGCTCCGTTTACACAGAAACAGTAGTTAAAGATCCATGTACAGTCGAATAGTAGACTATGAGTTCTGTTTACACACAAACAGTAGTTAAAGATCCATGTACAGTAAAATAGTAGACTATAAGTTCTGCTTACACACAAAGAGCAGTTAAAGATCCATGTACAGTCGAATAGTAAGTTATAAGTTCTGTTTACACACAAACAGTAGTTAAGGATCCATGTGCAGTCGAATAGTAGACTATATGTTCTGTTTACAGACAAACAGTAGTTAAGGATCCATGTACAGTCGAATAGTAGACTATAAGTTCTGTTTACACACAAACAGTAGTTAGGGATCCATGTACAGTCGAATAGTAGATTATAAACTCTGTTTACGCAAAAACAGTAGTTAAAGATCCATGTATAGTCGAATTGTAGACTATAAGTTCTACTTACACACAAACAGCAGTTAAAGATCCATGTACAGTCGAATAGTAGGTTATAAGTTCTGTTTACACACAAACAGTAGTTAAGGATCCATGTACAGTCGAATAGTAGACTATATGTTTTGTTTACAGACAAACAGTAGTTAAGGATCCATGTACAGTCAAATAGTAGATTATAAGTTCTGCTTACACACAAACAGCAGTTAAAGATCCATGTACAGTCGAATACTAAACTATATGTTCTGTTTACAGACAAACAGTAGTTAAGGATCCATGTACAGTCGAATAGTAGACTGTAAGTTCTGTTAAAACACAAACAATAGTTAAGGATCCATGTACAGTCTAATAGTAAACTATAAGTTCTGTTTACAGACAAACAGTAGTTAAAGATCCGTGTATAGTCGAATAGTAGGCTATAAGTTCTGTTTATAGACAAATAGTAGTTAAAGATCTGTGTACAATCGAATAGTAGGTATAAGTTCTGTTTACACACAAACAGTAGTTAGGGATCCATGTACAGTCGAATAGTAGACTATGAGTTCTGTTTACACACAAACAGCAGTTAAAGATCCATGTACAGTCAAATAGTAGATTATAAGTTCTGCTTACACACAAAAAGCAGTTAAAGATCCATTATAGTCGAATAGTAGGTTATAAGTTCTGTTTACACACAAACAGTAGTTAAGGATCCATGTACAGACAAATAGTAGATTATAAACTCTGTTTACACACAAACAGTAGTTAAAGATCCATGTACAGTCAAATAGTAGACTATAAGTTCTGTTTACAGACAAACAGTAGTTAAAGATCCATGTACAGTCGAATATTATACTATAAGTTCTGTTTACAGACAAACAGTAGTTAATGATCCATGTACAGTCGAATAGTAGATTATAAACTCTGTTTACACAAAAACAGTAGTTAAAGATCCATGTATAGTCGAATAGTATACTATAAGTTCTGTTTAAACACAAACAATAGTTAAGGAACCATGTACACTCTAATACTAAACTATAAGTTCTGTTTAAACACAAACAATAGTTAAGGATCCATGTACAGTCTAATAGTAAAGTATAAGTTCTGTTTACAGACAAACAGTAGTTAAAGATCCGTGTACAGTCGAATATTAGACTATATGTTCTGTTTACAGACAAACAGTAGTTAAAGATCCATGTACAGTCGAAGAGTAGACTATAAGTTCTGTTTAAACACAAACAGTGGTTAAGGATCCATTTACAGTCTAATAGTAAACTATAAGTTCTGTTTACAGACAAATAGTAGTTAAAGATCCGTGTACAGTCGAATAGTAGGCTATAAGTTCTGTTTACACACAAACAGTAGTTAAATATCCATGTACAGTCGAATATTTAGACTATAAATTCTGTTTACACACAAACAGTAGTTAAAGATATATGTACAGTCGAATATTCAGACTATAAGTAGGTAAACAGTAGGTAAAGATCCGTGTACAGTCGAATAGTAGATTATAAGTTCTGTTTACCGGCAAACAAGGACTAACGATTCTTGTGCGACTAAATATTAAGTTATACAATATTTACGATCTAAACATTTGCTACCGATGTGTTTTTTTCCTGAATAATAAACTTTAACTTTAGCTTTTAAACAACAGAAAATAACGATCGATATCTAATTAAATATTAGTTGTACTGTAACTAAACAATAATCTATGAACAATGTAGAAACAATGTGTTTATAAATAGAATTGTATAAGTTTTAATTATGAGTTAACAATGCTGTTAACACATTGGGCAGATGAGTACGATATATATTTTTGGCATACAAGTTGCTGAATTAAGTAATAAAAAAGATCAAAATTTAACATTTACAGCTGTTGTTACGTATTAGAATTTCGAATAGTCTGAAGCCAAGTTAAGTGATAATTTAAGTTTAGTAATTAAACTGTACTTTGGATTTAGTATTTAAATGTATGACGATATATTAGTCAATTTATGATATTTGCCAACGAAAAGATTGATACACACCGTCTTCGTTTTAAACACAAATACGTTTTAATATACACACAACAGTACGATTTACAATAACAATTATTACAAACAGTTATTACAAACAATGATTTATAAACAAAAGTGTCACAAACTTACAAACAATATAAAGTTTTCTTTCTAGTCTGGAACCTCCTTGATATTTTATCGAGGGTTCACGATGAGCGAGTTAATTACGAGGTGACGGAGGTATATTTCTCTTAACGGGAAGCTAGCTAGCTTTGTCTCTCACTGATCACATGACGATTTTTCCACCGTTGAAGTTATATAATGTTTTCATAAAAATACTAATGTCCGATGAAAATCCACTGAAGTTAAATGATTTGTAACTTTCGAAATTTATAAATATTCCAGGTCAGATATCTTAAATTTTCCGATTGATAAGTATTATAACAATCACAATAATAGCTTTCGAAGTTTTATAGCACACTGATTATAGCGAACTAACAATAGACACTCTCTTGTCGCGTCGCGTTAGTTATATTTATAGCGTGGGAATGTTTTCTAGAAACTTCAACCTTACGTAACAGTACTGGTTAAAGCGTTTACATACACACATATATATTGTTGATTCTTATTCTCGAGAATCCTCTACACCTATGGAGTATAGACGGAAGTTGCGCAGTACATATCTAACACTACAAGCTATGCATGTTTCTAAACATAAGCTCAATCTAAACAACATCTATATTAAAATAGATTAAAAGAAATATGTTACAATGTAAAAAATAGCATACAAGTTACAAGACGTAGATAAAACAAACAGTGGACAAAAATGTTTGTAGTACAGATAAACATTAATTTACAGAATGTAGAAACACAATTAATTTGGAGATTTTGAATACAGCACATATAAAAAGCAAGCAAGCTATAGATTCCAACAACGAACTGTTAAAAAATGTTAGACACAGTCAAGGGATGACGGAGCTATTAGTTAAAAGTTTACATTTGAAAAAAAGAACACAAGAAAGACCCAGAGCCGCTCATCCACGTCTAAAAATTTGCTACTTTACCCTGGAGCAGACATTGCGATTTTTAATATCAACAGCTTAATTCTAAGTTACTGTTGATGAATTGTTACTGTATTTAGAGCTTATTTTTTACTGCTTTCTATAACCATTGCCGGTGGTTAGGGCGCTCGACTCACAATCTGAGGATCGCGGATTCGAATCCCCATCCCACCAAACATGCTCGCCCTTTCAGCCAAGGAGGCATTAAAATGTGACGCTCAATATCACTATTCGTTGGTAAAAGTGTTGGTGGTGGGTGGTGATGATTAGCTGCCTTCCCTCTATACACGTTAGGGACGGCTAGCGCAGATAGTCCTCGTGTAACTTTGCGCGAAATTCAAAAACAAACAAACCGTAAAAGTGTCTTTTCCAGAAAGATGGGGCTTCACTCTGCTTTACACGGGAGGCACTAGACTGGGTTGGTAGGCTGGGACTGTTGCCCTGGGGTACGCGCGTTCTAGACCTCATGACATTGGACTTTTTCATATCAGAACACACAAAATCCACATCTAACTAAACATACTGATCCCAAATAATTTATTGAAAGAAACGGTGAATTTCCTGAACGCGTGCTTGTCAATGTAGTTGGCAATTAATGACGTTTTTCAAAGTATACTGAGGTTGAAAGGTATAGTCTTCATTCATGCTTTATTCTCCGATAGGGTAAGGACGTTAAAAATACCACATATCAGGGTGAATGTTACGGGGAGGTTTAACATTCGTGAACTTCTAAACATAATTATTGACAAACCATAAACAATTAAGGCATACTCAGTGAGATTAGTTTTAGGCTTTATATCAACTACTGGGAAAGATCTAGCGGTGGAGACAATAATTAGAAATAATAAATTATTAATAACACGGGAAAAAGCCTGGAATTGTGTGTAGATTACCATCTGGTAAACATTTTCCTAAGTTCTGGCTATAAGTGTTTCCTAGCTGGTAGATGACTATCCCAAGATCCTAATATAAGTGTATTCCTATCTAGCAGATGAGTATTCTAAGTTTCATGTATTCCTATGTATTACTCATTATATACTTCTTAAATGCAGACTAATTATGTTTAAACACTTTATTAAGTTCCACCGATGATCTGGATTCCTCACCAACTAGTAGGGTCCTTACTCGGGAGTAACGCTACCCTAGAGTGTCATACTGAAGCCTTTCCTATGTCCATCAATTACTGGACTAAAGAAACGGGAGACATGATCGTTTCTGATCAGAAGTATTTAACTAAGATTCAGGAAGACACCTACAAAGTTCACATGCAACTCACCATCCAGCTCGTAACCCCTGACGACTATGGATGCTACAAATGTTTTGCTAAGAATTCTCTTGGATCAACGGAAGGATCCATTAGGCTATATGGTAAGTTTTCAGTGTTCCTGTCTTCCATCTGGCGGCCTGCAAGTTCCATTAAATTAATAGCCTAATTTATTGTCCTTTACACAGTTAGTTATTACTTCGAGAAAACTCGATCACGCCAGGTGACTTGTGTAAGAAGTCCATATGGACTACTGTATGATTCAAAAAGAACCACTCTGAAGTTCTGTTATTTGACAAAAACAAACAATTGTTTACTGTACCAAATCCAGGCACATTATAATCGAAAAGATAGGTTCAGGAAGAAAGTAAAATACAAAAACACTGTAAACCTTTCATCAACCGTTTTATCACCGATACATTTCTTAATGAACTATGTAATAAAGACAACTTCATCGATACTGTAACACCAAAAACTCATCTGGTTTCGATTTTTCATCGAGTTTTAGACATGCTTTTTATTTTATGAAGGAATAACCACAATATATCTCTTTCCTTAATGCGGGAGAGTAAACATATCGAAAAGCAGGAAAGTGCACGGTTTGGAAGGATAAATTTTCTTAACGCAGGAGAACACACATCACGGAAGAGCGTGATTTCAAAGTCGGAAGAATAAGCATTCTCAAAAGATGGTCTCCGTTTAATAAGGAAAGCGTAAAACTAATAAGGGCGGTCTATCTATAATGAAAGAGAATATATAACAACAAGAAAAAATGTACGCTGTTTGGCCTTTGGGTTTGCTAATATACGAGTCATATCTTTATTTAGGTAGTTGACTGTCGTGTCGTATTATCTTTATTTAGGTACTTGACTGTCGTGTCATATGATATTTATTTTGATAGTTGACTGTCTTGTCATATCTTTATTTAGGTAGTTGACTGTCGTGCCATATCTTTATTGAGGTAGTGGACTATCATGCCATATCTTTATTTAGGTAGTTAAATGTCGTGCCATATCTTTATTTAAGTAGTTGACTGTCGTGTCAAATTATCTTTATTTAGGTAGTTGACAACCGTGCCATATCTTTATTTAGGTAGTTGACTGTCGTGTCATATCTTTATTTAGGTAGTTGACTGTCGTGTCAAATTATCTTTATTTAGGTAGTTGACTACCGTGCCATATCTTTATTTAGGTAGTTGATTACCGTGCCATATCTTTATTTCTTCAGTTTCGAGTATTAATCGAATATTTCCAAGAAGGTTAAAAAATAAATACGACAGTGTGGGGAAGGGCTTAGAGAACGTTACCAATATTGATAAATTTGACATGTAAATTATTCCAATCAACTAAGTCTATGTTACCTTTACAGCTAGAAATTTTTAAATCTCATTTTAATTAACATTTAAATGTATTTCTTTCTAAATTATTTCATTATTTAACTTCAAAATCTTCACACTTGATCTGTATACAGCTAAGTTTACGATATTTTAGTTTGAAATTACAATATTTGGATAAACCAGTAAGCGCGTATAAAGAATTCCAAACTTAATCACTTTCGCTTAAGGATCTACTCGATAACAAGGAAAAAAAAACATTTGATATATTGATGACGGTGGAATGAAATGACGCAACTTGGTTCAAGCCAGTCAGGAAGTAATGTAATTACAAGTAAATCATAAGCTCAAGATACTTCGCGCCAATCTTGACCTCAGGCTAGTCATGAGCTATATTTAATTCCGTTCTTTCAGCTATAGCTAATACAATTCAATATTAAACGTGAGGTACACCAGTTTCAAATAATGAACTAGAGGACGAGTAAGCATTCTTATAGGGTCGTCTCTACTTAATACAGGAAAGAGTATGTTTTGGAAGGACGGTCTATCTTTAATGCAAGAGAATATACATTAAAATGTTTTTAATAATACACAGAGCCAACCATAAGATACATCTATTTGAAGAGAAGGGGATATAACCATTTGAAGTCACTTATGACTTGAAGCTACTTCTAACAAATGATAAGCTATACTTATTTCAGCCTAATCATGATCTATATATCAACAAGACACTCAAGACCTACACGTGCTTTAACAGAGTCATTAACATTTGCTACTCTATACCAGTGTTTCCCAACCACCGGTCCGTCACAACTACGTTGTCAGTCTGTGGGATTTCACGAAAACAAACAAAATCTGATAGATATTCAAACGTAAATCGTAATGGTTTTCACTGTATTTGCGTTTTTTTGGTCAACAATACTTTAGGGAGACAGCAAACCAGTCCCTGCTATCGAAAAGGTTGAGAAACGCTGATCTATTTTGTTTTGTTTTTTCATGACAACCTTGAGGCAAGGTCACTTGAAGAAACTCACGGGCTTTAGACTTAACTTGAGCTTTGGTTATTTCAAACTACGAACAAAAGTTTCTATCAGCCAATCATGGACTATATTTACTTCAAACCAGTTATAATTTACAGTTACATGAGCAGTAACTAATTCAAACCAACAATTATGCAATATTTTTACAATCCAACAGGTTTTTGTTACTTAAAACGAATCATAATTGAAACAAGTCATGAAATACATTTAATTGAAGCCAATCACGACACATATAGCCTCCTTAAGATAATCATGAATTTCAGTTAGTTCCTGATATTATGAACCTTTGTTACTACAAAACCGTCATGAGCTCAATTTATATCCAGCCAATCACAACACATAGCCTCCTTCAGATAATCATGGATTTTAGTTACTACAGAACACTTATGATTTGAACTTATGTCTAGCCAATTATTCACTCTAGCTTCTTCATACCGGTTATGACATTTAATTTCATCAAGCCAATCATGAACTATAGCTTTACTATAGTCAATAGTAAGTTAATGTTACAAAAACAAATCATGAACTACTTTTACCCAATCATGAGCTAATGGTAAAACACCGCAGTCCTGTGGTATAGTTACTTTAAGTCAAACAAGAAATAATTAATTTAAATTAACCATGAGCTGTAGTTATTTCAGTCCAATCGTGAGCTACTTAAGGGGGATTGCAAAATAAATCACACTTTTCCCCGAAGTAATGACGAACTTGGTAGGACCGCGAATATCATCACTCGTGAGAAAACGTCATTTCAACGTACTCATGGGGGTTTCACTCTTTGAATTTAATTTTTAGCTAAAACTTGAATCATGATGCTCACTAGAACTCATGTTCATGTCGCATGTGCTGCCTTCGGGATTGCTCAGAAACTAGTCGCAGACATGCTCCGGAGCTTTCATTCAACAAGGCACAGAAGAAATGCAATGCTGGAAACTTTGCCTGAATGAGAGAGACACAAACAGGAAACCTTGATTCGTGTTCTCACTGATGTGCTCACAGAGACAGCCACAAAAACAGACATCTTTGTTGCATTGCTGAAATCTTTTGCAAGTGAATTAAAAGTCGTGCGTGAAAACAATGGGGGCCAAATCAAACGATATTGATACTTGGAATTACTTTTTTGATTGAATTAAAATCTTATTTTACTTTGTTATACTCGAGAGGGAAAAAAAGTGATTTCATTTGCAACACCCCTTATTTTGAGAGAAATGTGGGCTACATATAGTTTTGTTAAGTCACTCATGTACTTGGTTTACTTCAAGCTAATAATCAAATAATCTCTTCAAACAAGAACCGAGTGCGGTCTTGGAGTTGTTAACGTCCCGGATTGTGAATCCACGAGTTCATGGTTCGCTGCACCGTACACTGAAGCCGTGTGTGTTATATGAATTAAATCGAATACCAGTATTGAGTCTGACAAAGGAAGCTCGAGATTCGGCGAGGCGCTGGCGGACAGCCACTTTTCCTACAGACAGCCCAGCATGGCCTGGTGGTTAAGGCACAATCTGCGGGTTACGGGATCGAAACCTGTGGTCGAATATGCTCGCTCTTGCAACCGTGGGGACGTTATAATGTGATTGCCAATTTCATTATTCGTCCGTAAGACTAACTAAAGAGTTGGCGGTGTGTGATGCTGATTAGCTATCTTCCCTCTACTCTCTCACTTCTAAATTAGGGACAGTTAGCGCAGATGGTTCTCGAGCACCTTTGCGCCAAATTCAACAAACAAATAAGCAATTCAAAATTAGAGACGTACATGTGCATCTAGTCCTTATTAAGCTTTGCGCGAAATTTCTAACCAAACAAACAAATCAAGAGATATGATTAGTTTAAACTAATCATGGCTACTTCAAGTTAAACACGGGCTGCAACCACTTGAAGTTAAATTTGAAGTATCACTAATCCTATTTATCCCCTAGTAGCTGTTAATAGTATCGTTTGGAACAGATTTACATTTAGAGAACATATTGTTTTTTGCACACTTTAGAAATTCAGCTGTAATCTGAAAATGAGGTGATCTTATGTTATCCCTCGAAATAAGAAGTCACCATAATGACGAAAGTTGTATGCCAACAAGAAAACTCATTATGGTTTAAGTTTCATAAACGTTATTTTAAAATCCTTCCAGGTTCTAAAATATCACTTTTCTTCTTTATTTAGAAGTCCATGAAGCATCCGAAAGAAGAAGGGGTTATTCTCCCTCTTTATTACAAAATGTTAACGGTAAGAACAAGATGAAAACATCTCGTGGTCTTTCTTTTCTACCTAAAATTAGATGTAGTATTGTGTTTACCCTTACATGACTGAAGTTTTTCACAAGATCAAAAACATGCGAACAAGCAGCGTCTCATATCGATTCTTCTATAGCAAGGTTACTGGAGTAATGATGCCCTAAGCCTAGCAGTGATCACTTACAAATAACTTTACAAAGCATGCGCAAAAACACAAGAACAACAAACAAGCTAAAAACATAACCACATTGTAATTATGAAACTAACTCAGTCCATTGTATTTATATTTTAACATGTTTTCGATTACGGGATTTCAGGCTCAATTCAATCTTGCTTTTTAATTATTAGGTCGTCATGAAATTAATGTCGCTTTTTATAGATGAAAAAAAAACAACAAAAAACGAACAATATTTATCAAAACAAAACATTTATTAAATGAAATAGTCTCCACTCTTTTCGATGATGCTTTTCCATCTTACAATCAGGTTGTTAATGTTGTTACGTATTAGAATTTTAAATGGTCTGAAGTTGAGTTAACTGATAATTTAAATTTAATAATTCAATTATACTTTGTTTTTAGTATTTAAATAAATGCCGATATATATAGTCAGTTTGTAAAATTTGCCAACAAGATTGATACACAGTTTTCTTTTTTAACACAAATACGTTTTAATATACACACAACA